AAAATGAATTCCCGCGCCTGTCGTTCTCACTCTGACCCCAGCTCTGAGAGTGGCAATCAAATACAGAAAATCAGCATTTTGAGGAAACAGAAGGAAAAAAACATCTTTCAGAAACAGCAGAAATACATCAATGTAGAACCTCCTTGGGATTAGCTGCAAATTAACCTCTCAAAAACCAGTCACAGCCTTGTCCTGTCATAATAAAAACAGCACTATTAATAATAAACCTACATGCAAAATGGTTTAAATGACTATTGAAGTGCACTCAGTAGTTTACCACATTCATCTTTCACTCATTCCCTTTTTTTGGATGTATCAGTTGAAGCATAAAAGGAAATTTTCTCCTATGTTTCTTTTTCTTTCTATTTTTCCAGAGCTTATACTAGAAGACAAGCCATAACCATATATCATTGTATGTGCATCTTTGCTGCAAGAACTTGCATGCCTTTTCTATTTCTGAAGCCATTGTTTGTCAGCATTTTTTCCTGCTGTGTGGTATTCTTAGAGAGGAATTTCGCGTCTAAGTATATTAACATAAAATAGGATAATCTCAATATCTAGTTTTTAATTATAAAGATCAGAAGACGACAGGTGAAAGGATTTCATTTAAACACAACTGTAGCTGAGCTTGATGTTTAATTCAAATACGTGTTTATTACAAACACACACACATCTTGTGAGGAACTCATGGGATATTTGAGAAGCATGAAAGAAGGGCTCATACCTGTCAATAAGACTATCATCTTCCTTTTTTTCTCATCTGTTTTGTTTGAAGCCTGTTTTCTAATTTTCACTATATCGTCTCCCAGGCTTTCACACCATTCCACCTAATTTTGATATCTGTCATCGTTTTCATTAACAGATCACAGGCAGAAATTTTAAAAAATGCTTCTAGATTACGTCTAGGGCATGTGTTATTGAATAAACAGATTTTTAATTTAACATAAAATGAAGGAATGTGAGTGTCATTAAGCACTTGTACATTTTCCGTTTTTTTTTAGTATTAGCGCAATAAAAAAGTTATTAGAATCAATTAACAGCAGTTAGAGCCCTGGTGATTTTAGCAGTAATGGGCCGCAATATTCAAGCTCGGGGCAGTCAAGAAACACCAGCCTGCTGGTCTATTGCCTTCTCTTAAAAAACACACCCATCGGGAGCAGAAGGAGTCTAGGAAGGGGAAGGATGATGATTAGAAAGCTCACGGGGTGAGAATAAAATGAAGCGATGAATTACAAACGAGAAGCGCCAACCCCAGCTGGTGCTAATTGAGCTCCTAAGGGTCTCTTGGGTTCCTGCACGTAAGTCCAAAAGAAGGAATGTTTCTGTGACAGAGGATGCTGTACTGACATAACAGTGTCTGCAGTGATTCTTCTCACATCTGGCTCCTTCAGTGTTCCCCACCCAGAGAGGGGCGCCTGTCAAAAAACCCAACACTTCAAAAGCACAGGACTTTAGTGCACTTGTATGTCAGTGCACTCAGGACACACGCTGTGTGTAATCATGTGGGGCTCACAGACTCACAGCGGTCTGCTCAGAGACTTCTTTGTGCTCACAGATGTGCATCAGCTAAGAGATCTCAATGCAAACCTACATAATAGCAGTAAACCATGCTCCAGTCACTGGCACATTTAGACAGCACCCATACTGAACTATTTCAATCCAGCAAAAGCATGGCTGCGCAGAGCCGAGCAGCTCTTGCTTTAATGCACAACAGGGATGGAACAGTGCAATATTGTACTTACATGCTACAATATCATGTGCTTTAATTAATTCTCTAGTCGTCTGTATCATATTAAAATCTGTCAATATTTAAAAAGACTCAACATTACCCGCAGAACTCAGACAATTCACACAATAAAAAACGAGACAGATTGTTTAGGGTCTGTTTAGTATGCATGTATGCATGTTGGCATGTTTAAGTTTAATGGATATCACCTTCTAACATTCATTGGCAAACATAAATGAAATATTAATAGCTGTAAATCACTTAATTGGACCAAAGTGATGAGATCTTTATTAGGGCTGATCTCATATTACTTGTTTTTCTCATGAGCTTTCTGGCAATCAGGAACTATCAGTCTGAATCACACTGATGCAGTGTGACTTTTTTAAGAATCATTTTAATCTACATTCAGCTCTGGAATGATTTAAACAGCACATCAAAATAATGCATTGCCATTCCATCATGATCAATTTATTCTCTCTTTATATTTATGTCAAGGATGTGGATCTGGTACTGTCTTCAGAGACCTATGTTCATATTGTGGGGTCGATGCACAGTATGCTCAATAACTACTTTTTTTTTCATTTTAAGAACTGCTGTTTACATCTAATGGGACTCTGTGAGGCTTCTGTTTGCATCGCTGGCAGCAGAATTGATAAAAAGACATTGCCTGGAGGGATGAGCCACTTAATGAACTCAAAACACAGAGTTCATGAGATCAGAGTCTCCTCAAGAAATGAGACCAAAACCCATCCTTGCCCTCGAGGCATTCTGCTGTCCATTCTGGCACAATTACAAGGCGTTGGAACGCTAAAGCAAATCACTCATGGGTCACTAGAAAGCTAGGAGGGATGAAAATATGCCTGTAGAAACCAAGGCTCCAGTGTGTGTGCTTACAGCCTCACGCTCACCTCCGGGTCAAAAGGTCACATATTCTCAAATGTTGCCTTGAGCCACAGCACCTGAACTTTCTAACCAAGTCTGGGATTAACATCTGTCGAGCAGTTAAAGCTAAAAGAGACACTGTGCTGTGTTTCCTTACTAAGCACAGATCCCACAGGAGAGAATCCCATGTAAATAAACAATACAAAAAAATGAGTCCTACTAAAACAGCAGTTTCGTGGGATCTGATTGTTCCTTTGAATTCTTCGAAAAGAAAATGGCTCTGTCTCTCGAGTAAGCATCGCCAAACCAGCACAGCAGTGCGAGAACAGTAAACACGAGCCCTATAAAGGGGCCTGGAGTAAAAGGCAGTGGAGGAGAAAACCTCTTCCACCTATTTGTGTTTGTTTGCTTCCATGATTATTAAGTAAAACAACTAAAAGGGAGCCTTTGTAATAAGAGGTTCTTTTTCTTCCTTTGGCAATTGCACTGTTTCAAATCTGTTTCAGTCCCCATAGAGACGAACTCCAGCTCTGAAGAATTCCCATTAGGCATCTGGAACGGCTGTGTTTTGTCATTTTCGATTTACTTTGCAGAAACGAGCACCGCAAATGATGGATGTCCATTGACTTAATGCTAATTAACAAAGATTTGCTTTTTTGTATGCTTTTAATTTTTTTTTCTTCTTCTAAACGGCGCACACTTCACAACTGTGCGCATTTGAAAATCAAGTGTTTTATTGGGCGGTTTTCATGAGGCAGGAAGGGAACGGTTCAGAGGAATACAAGAAGATTCCTTTCAAAACATCGCTTCAAAAGGTCAGCACGGCCTCCGTAGTGAGGGGGACACTGTAGTGAGCCCTGTCAGTCCAGTCTAGCAAGCCAGCAATTCACTTCTACTTTATAATTGGACCATTCCGCTATGAATGTAATGACAGTCGCGTTTACAATGTCATTACACTCGCATGTGTAAGTGTCTTCCGTGAATTGATTTCATAATTATTAACAGCACTTGCTGCAGCACAGCCTGTAACTTGGCACCTACAGATTTTCAACGACAATGGAAGTTTGTGAAAGCAATCACGTCCCTTTTTATTTCCTTGCAGCTTTTGAAAACAATAAATACTCTCCTTCACAGTCACATAAGCACATGCACAACTCAATTTGTAGATTTAGCCCAAACAGTAACGGCTGACTAGAGAATAATCGTTACACAAATGTCTTTATTCAGGTACAAGCCTTTTTAAAAACACACAGGTGATCCTTGCCTCTGAAAATAAAGGAATAGCAATTTAGCAGGCATTAAGTGCCCCAGGTCCTTCATGCCAGGGTGTTAATAAGTTCCTAATTGGTTCTTCAGCCAATTTCCTTCTCTTCATCATATGCTGTTTAAAAGCCCGATAAATCAATCTAGTAAATTATTTCTGGGCTATGTGGAGCCTCAAAAAAACTGATGTGTGGTCCCTTCACCCCTTGTGTATTCATTTACTTAATTTAACTTTCTTTCATGAAGAAATGAGGAGGATTAAAAACAACACACTGAAAATCCAACCGTCCTTTTTTTAATTGCTGTGGCAGAAGCCCTGCTGTGTGAAGAACTGGGGAGTGGAAGTGATACCATAGCCGCTTTTTTGCTTAGTGGAATTATTACTAAAACGGTGGCTTGGTTTTGTACCCCACTGTTTTCGTATCCCATTACTTTACCTTGCCAAGCCTAAATCACTGCCTAAGCAGAGGGTTTCTTCCTCCTTCAGGCCTGAAAGAGCCAGTCTCCTGTAGTATCTCTTTTTCCAACTCGTTTTTGCTTCTATCCTGCAGAACTGCATGACTAAATTCATTATTGCTCCAGGACACTATTATAGTGATTGGCAGCAGTGAGTACTAACATGACCCCCTAACAGGCTCATGCCAACAGATCTGATGTCTTTTAAAATGAAAAAAAAAACGTCAACATTAATTCCCTGCTAAATGATTCTGATGAATAATGCATGAGAGGGAATACAAAATGCAGATTTCCACCTTCCACCTTCATCAGACTAATTGCTGCCATTCATGTAGACCTGGCTTTGGCAGATCCAACAACAAGAAATCTATATAAGGACAAAACTTTATCGAACTTGTAGGAAAGCGGGTATGAGCGATATGAAAATGTCTGTTAGCCTGTGTTGTGTCTTCTCATGTTCTGACCAGATGAATTCTTCCAAATAAAATAAATGCTTTCCTAAAATGACTACATTAAATAACTCTCTGTTCTTGGAGACATCAGAAGTGGAAACAGTTCTGAGGTCTCAGACAATTCTCTCTGGAAGAAACTAGTCTTGAAGGTCAAGCATATAAATGGCCGACTGTCGTACTCCCAAACTGTGCCAGTCATCTTACCAGAAAGGTCAACTTACCTTGGTCGGGGAGCTGAGAGCCACTGGATGGGACATTCATATTGAGCACATCATTCACCGCTGTGTCGGAATAGAGGCCTCGCTGCACATCGTGCTCACTGTCTGTCTGGTCACTCTCCTCATGGCCGCTGTCCTTGAGACTGTTCCCTTCCAAGTCCTTGAATGTTGATGTGCTGCAATGCCCAAGATAAAAAAATGCTGATTTTTTTGGTCACGTCAAGTCCGATCAGATAAAGACTCCTTCCTTCTGTTGCTCTTTCTCTTCTCCTCCCTGTCTCAGAAACATGTCTGCTGCTTAGGAACTGGAGACTGCAGGTGGATCAGATAAACCGGACAGCTGGAGCTGAAGAACTATTTTAGTTCAGCCCAGACCCAGTATGGACTAACATACTGTTAACCTGAATGGAGAGAAGCTTGTGGAGTCAACCGTTTGGAAGAGAAAGCTTCTCTTGTGGGGGTCAATGAGCAACAGAATAACTCTGGAGCGCAAGCTTGTGCGCCATCTCCTCTTGTAATAAAACTTTTACAGGTGTGAAAGCATTTGCCTTGGCATTTGGAAGAACTGTGTCATAGTAGTATGATTTCATGTAAGATGAAGTGGTGCATTTTTTATGTCCGAGACATTTACGGAGTTGCTCTATGCCAGACCTAATTTTGGACACTGTTTACCTACTTAGGCTGGGGGCTGGTACACTAGGGTGTGGATAAATGCAGCTGCTGTCTAGGAAATCACCTTTCATTACTTCAAACACAAAATCTACAAAAGTCTTTAAAAACAGTAGAAACCTCATGAGAAACATTTTGTTTTTCCTTCAGCGGTAACTTGGAGGCAAAAGGTGAGATCATTTATTAGGAACAGCTAGGTGTGATCGTTTACTGTACTGGGTTTCTTGAGCATTTATACCTCTCCTTGATAACCATTAGAGCTGTATGCCTTACAGAAAACAAAACAAAATTATCTATACATATAAATCATGCTCCCATACAAGCCAAATGAGGATCACACTGATTTAAGCAGATTTTCTCTCCTGCTTAATTCAGCAGGCAATTTGCTCAGACTGCAGCAGTGGTGATGCTGGCTCTCTGATGTTATCATTGTAATTGCACCTGTCCCAAAGTACAGGCAAGGCGTCCTGAGGGGATTTCTTTGTAGTGAACTGCAGAGACTGCACTTAAATGCTCTTTGTTTACATAAATACAAGGCATCTTTTTGAGAAAGAAATTGCGGTAATGGGTTTAAAACTCAAGACACACACTCGCAGCTAAAAGCAAGAATATTCTGTTCCAAAAGGTGAAATACAATGCACAATTGTTATGTAGGACCCTCTCTGCAGCCCCTGAGCAATGGACAATTTGATATAATTGTTGGCTTGCATTATGCCTTGTAGCTCCCAGTGGAAGCTTAGGAATGCAGTATTAAGACTCTACAAACAATCTCCATTTTCACTTTTACCCCAAATTCTAGTGAATGATAGTAATATAAAGGCAACCTGGTCCAAGTAAGGACTTCAATTTGAAAAGAATGGCAGAGTGCATTTCTGTTATTTAAACTAGGGCCTCATCCCTCAAAGTATCTAATATTCCCTTTCAAATGGAAATCCCATATTTTTTTTAAAAGTATTTTTTTCCTGTTTCATTAATGAGAATGTTTTATGTCAAGACTTAAATAAAAAGAGTAACGCGTATAGGCAGAAAAATCTGAACCTCCTTTTAAATTAACATGAGAAAGAAAGTAAGCATTTCTGTTCTGATTGGGAAAAAAAGCATTTGTAATTAAATCTTCATGGGCTTTTTGTAAAGAGAAATTAAAGATGACTCCCAGAAAGTAAATACTGCATAAAAGTACTGTATTAAGACATATATTTTCCTTAAAATGATTTCAGAATTTGATAATTAAACATGTAATTCCTGAATCTTTTCAGGATTTCTATTGTACTGGTATGTACAATATTCCCATTTTGTTTTTCAAATGGCCCTTTCTCTCTGACTGAAAGGTGAGTCTACTCAAGTTGATTCTATAAATTAATGTTTGTTTACCAACCAGGACAATCCTCTTTCCTTGTTGTTCTGCGAATACTATTGTTATTTTAAATTATTTTGGTTTTGTACTGCGTTTACATTTGTTACTTACTTGCAACAAAATGAAATGAGAAGATTAAAGGGAAACGGGAGAAAAGAAATCATCGTAATTCTCTAATCGAGACGTACCTTTTAATGAGGTGTGCTCTGCTGTTTACATAACTGGAGTCAATGGAATAATTCTCAGTCTGAAAGAGAAGAAATACAGACATACTTAATTATGTTGGGACCAACCAAAATAATGTTAATTGCCTTTCAATAGAAATGTTATTTTACACAAAGGCTTCTGTTAGCTGCCTCAGCTTTCAAAGGCAAAATAAATTCTCTTTCAAAGCAGGAAGAATGTACTGTAAGCGCTGAAGACTGTGAGCGCTGCATTAACATTCTCCTTACTTCGGCATTAACCACCATCAGTCAGGCCTGGATTTTTTTAAATGGGGCCAAGGAGGCCAGCATTTCATTGGGGACAAAAAACAGCTCCCTTACAATTTCCAGCATATTTTTAAACCAATAATATTCTGTAGCTAAAAGAAGAAAAAAAGAAAAGTGGCTTGTACTGGGGGATGTCTAACACCTTGAAAGCATAGAACACACATGCAATTCAGCAATGGAGAATCCCTGACCCAGATGAAATAACCGGTCCAAGGCGTCTCATGTTAGTGCTGGCTTTATTCTCACATTGATAAAGAATAGAACGAGGACAAAGACAGGAAACAGAAATTGTAAAGTCATGTCAACAACAGCGCAGCAGGTGCTCAGGTAGCTAGTGGTGTCACAGGGACTCCTTGTCACAAAGCCATCAATCTTTTTCCGAAAAATACAGTCCTCATTCTTGATGTGTTGATCAGGTGCAGCTGTTTACCTTGTTGAAAGCAAGAAAAACAGCTGCTTCTTTGCTCAGCTTCACTAAAACCCTCCCTGTCTCTGACTCAGAGGAGATTACAGAATGTGTCACCAGCTCAACTCGTGAGGAAACTTGGGATCCCAAAGATGTCTCCGCAATAATGAGAAAGGTTAATGCATGCAGCAGAGAGAAGACACTGACTAGTGAATGAATCCACTGTAACCCCAAGGCACGCAATCCTGCTGTGCCGAAACCTGTTAAAAAGCCTGATTTGAAAGCACTTGGGGCCCCAGTTTAATTTTTACAGGCTTAATGTTCCTTTTGCTCTGAGTAACTCCTGATCCACGTTTTTCTGCTAGCGTAGCGAAGTTTTTAATGTAACAACTTGGCAATCTTGCAAGACTAAGTCAAACTGGAAATTCAGAATCATATTCCACCCCTCCCTCCTTTAGAAAATCAGAACATCCAACGCAATACCTGCACATGGAGAATTTAAGGAATGTGAAACACATCAGCTCTTGATGCAGTCCCATGCTCAGGTTTGGCAAATAGGGCTCAATAGGGCTAAATGGTTTAAGGAATACAATATCTTAATAACATATACCTCAGACCTCTTTTATATCTCACCATTTTGGAAACACAGACTTTACTTCCAGTTCAGAATTTAAAATAAGAACAGTTACAAATGAGAAGAAGCTATTTGCCCTGCTAGCCTGTTGGGTAATTAATAGTTAATTGATCTAAGAATCTCATCCAGAAAGAAAGGGTATTGGCTCCAACACCCTAAGCTGTGCAGCTTGTTCCACATTCCCGCTAACCTTTGTGTCAAACATGTTTCCTGTTCTTGATTTCAATTAACTTTCACATAGATAACTCATGTTTTTATATTATTTATAAATTTATAAATAAATTAAAAATTAGATTAAATTAGGAAATCGATTTGCTTTTACTTCTGTTGCATTAAATGTGAAAGGCAAAACTAGGAGTTTGTTTTTTTCTGGTACTGTATGTCTTTGTCATTGGCCCATCTCTCAGTTTCAGAAGATACATACTTTTGTGAGGAATTGCAGTCTTTGTTGTACTCCCGGGATTATTGATATTTTTGCTACGTTTAGGCACCTCAGAAAATCAAACTCTACAATAATAAACAAGTTGGTGGACAGGTCAAATACAATACACAATATTTTTTTCACAAATCTGGAATCCCTAATCTTAGGATGCATGTTGCTGAAATACTGGAGAGACTCTGTTCTTGAATTGCACAAACACCAGTGAAAATCGATATTTTAAGAATTATTCTGTTCAGCAGTTGCACTAAAAGAAAAGAGTTGGTAAAAAGCAAGCTCATTATTTATTACCTCACCTACGCAGTTTTTAATCATATCTAAAGGCAAGATAATCTTTTAATTACTTCTGAAGCCGCATCAGGGGCGGTGATTGAGATTTCGTGGGGACGATGTGATCTGGATGCACTGAAGGTTAACGCCAGGTTTTGTTCTCTGCTAATTAAACCTTAACTCATTGTTATCAGTGAGATAATTTGTAAAAGCATTTTAATTAACATTTTATTAGCGCCACTTAATTTGGAGCACAGTTGTTTATTCTCAGCATTGCTGCTGTGGCAGTGACTCACTGCTTTGTTCGTTTCCAGCTTGACACCATTAATATCAAGGTAATTGGTATTGCCAATTATTCCCACTCTTATGGGATGTATATTTTTTTAATGTACCACCTGTACTCCAGTTCGGTCCCTGTGAGGACTCATTATAGAGTCTCCCCTTTGACACTGGCACCTAGTGTGAGTGTAATGGATGGGCACAGAACATAGCAACAAGGGGAAACGTGAAAAGAGACAGTATACAAATTTACAATGAATCTCAATCTGAAATTCCTTTCGTAGTCCATAATTAGTTTAGGTGGGAAACAGATCATTAATAAAGCCTCAGGAGAGGCAAGGTTCACTCCGACTCTGTGTTGTGATTCTGGTTAAAGACATACGTTTTCTAAAATGTTCCTCCTGGACTTTTTTAAGGACTTGTAAATCATGTTGTGCCGATAAAGCCCTTTTTTCATGAATGTATTCTGTCTTTGTATCAGTAAACAAGTGGCATGCCAGTTTGCACTTCTGCCTCATATCCCTTGAATTCTGGGTTCAATTAATCCTTTTTGTGCACTTTATATGCTCTCCAACTGGCTTCATAGATTTTTAGGGCTACAGGGGTTTTCATAAGGCACTCCAGTTTTCTCCCACGTTCCGAAGATGCACTGCGTTAATTGGTGTCAATACATCGTCCCTCCCGTCTGTTCCCTGCAGTGGGCTGGTGGCCCATTCAGGCTGTGTCCAGTCTCTGCTGGGTAAGGCTGTGGTTCACTGAGACCCGAGACTGGACTAAGCAGTTGGTTAAAACAGATTAAATGATAAATCAATGAATAGATACAATCAAATTATTTTGCGTGCGTTTGTTTAAAAGGCGTCAAAGTTGTCAGTGGATATCAGAAAACAGAATATATTTATGGGAACTGTCTGGAAAGAATGTAGCACAGTTTATTTCTGCTCACCAAGTGTAAATTAAATCAGTGTGCACCTCATTATCTATTGTTTTACTGTGGAGTTTCTGGTCCTTAAGCTTAAACAGCTTCACCACAATAAGAAAATGGCACAAATAAGTTATTTTATCATGTTTATCATGTTAAACATGTGCCTTCAAAAGCCAAAAACCTGCACTGCTGGGTAGCTGGTGGCTTTGAATCTGACAGATAATTGCACCCTTTAATCTAAAATGGGGGGAACAACTTGAGTAGACATGATGACAATCAGCAGGCTCTAGGAGCCCCAGACTGAATGACAGAGTCAGTAGGGAGAGGAAATGAAATCTGAGAGGATTGGACATCTTTCCAATTCTGCACATTCTCTGAGAGGAACCCTGGTACACTCTCAAACCGGCACAGATCTGGGAAAAGGCAATTGCGTTGGTTAGCCACCGTGTCATTTGATTTGCTTTCCAACTGCAAGACGATCTGTTCTGTAGTTTATTCATTGTGCAGGTAGAACAAGCGAGGTGAGCTCTTACTATAGCTGCTGTTTCAAACAGAAGCATTTAATGAGCATTTCTTTTAACTCTACAAATCCCAGCAAATCCACGAAGGCAATTATCCTCACAGATGTATCCATAATATCAGAGACTAACCAAAGTGCCGCAATGCAACATGACACATTACTGTCACACAGTAGTTAGCTTGTTTTTCTTGAGCAGCAGATATATTGGCTTGAAATTTAAATTTCTGCAGTCAGACCTATTTTATATCTGTGTCACCTAGTCCTCATTGGAAAAGTGACCGATGCTCAGGGGAACTAATACTTCCAGATAGCAAGGGGGCTTATTGGATTGGATCACCTTAAGAGACCTGTGCATAATCAAGGTTTCAATGCAAGCTGTACAGTGTACTGTAAAATCAACACTGGCACGTTTCTTTTTTTACTTTTAAGAATCCTGTGGAATTGAGAACATAGCAATATCATGAATATGTACATTCAGGCATCACTAACACAGTAAAACTTCACAAAGGTCTATTTAGACAGTTCAGTTACTTTAACTGTTACAGTATACAAATTACATTAAACTGGAATCACATGAAGGTGAACAACCAATGTGTTGCATAAATGTTAACATTATTGTAAATTTGTTTCGTTTTCAAAGTGCTGTGTGCAAAAGCCAAAGAAATGTAGTATGTTGATTTTAGTGTTTCCTTCATATTTTTCGTGTAAAAGCCCACTCATGGTGTCCCTCGAGTCTGCATAGAAAATCTGAGGCATTATTAATGAGCTGCGTTGTGTATAGTCTTTCCCCCTGGAAAGAGGAGAATCAGTAGTTCTCGGAGAGAGAAAAAAAAGATTAAGAAAAATAGACCATGGCACCCGTATCTGCAAAGGCAAAGCGTCGATTTCTGTTTTATAAATAAAAACACTGTTCACACTGGCTGCCTGCAAAATGGGTTTAAAAGCAGCAAGAGAACGAGAGGTGTTGGAAGACCAGGGTATAAATAAATCAGTAATGGCTGTGACAGCTCTAAGGTTTTTCTTTGCAAAGTAAAACAATAATAAATTGGAACATCGTGAGTCTAAAGTGCCCTTTTACCAAAAATCAAATCAAATACTTTGTTGGGCTGGAGCCTGCTCACACCACGGATCTCAGTGACCAGCTAATGTGCGTTGAGCAAGGCCTGCGCTGACTTGTTTATTACATGTCTTGCACGGTAATTACTGCTAGAGAGCCCCACTCTGCAAGAACTGGAGAAAATCCTTGTATTTCTCATTCAGCCTCTCTGCCTCCTGCCCGTCATTAA